GTGGCTATTGCAACTTTGGGTGATAATCATTCAGTGGAGACTCTTTGCTTTGCTCTCTCACGCGTAAGCCTAATAAGCATACTTCTTAAGTGTGTTTGTGCAAACAATGGCTGCTTTTTCCTGCATTCGCCTAATTTTGTGCTTGAGCTGCAGTGAACATGCTGGTGTTGTTACTATTCCTCGTCGACGTTGATTTACCAGTCCAAAGATTTGTCAGTCAGCGACGAACTCACAAACACGTCATTGAAATGTTGGGCCGACCTGACTTGTAGTTGTAATGTGCGTCAATCAGTTGGAGGTTAAATTGACGTGCTGCGGGACCAGCTGCTTTCACTTCACTGGCACCATGGTTTACAAGTCCCATTTTACCATCCGTTATCGCTTATCAATTCATATTCATATCGAGGGCAATGATTCCCATTTGGAGATAGCAGGATATCAGAGAACCTGGCCTGATTATTCATTTGACAAGAAGACATTTCTCTTCAAGCAAAACTTATGATATAAGAAACTGCACTGTACATTATATAATGGAGCAATCCTGCCTTTAATTTTAGCTAAAGAATGTAGACGCTATTAATTTGCAAATGCAGCGTCAACCACCCAATGTCAAGTGTTTTCCTAGAAATTCAACGCACTTCAAGCTTTCCTTCCTCCACATTACCTTAAACTGATCTTGCTTTCAATAATTCCTTGTCGTGACTTCAAGAACTACAGCATTAATAACTAATTCACGACATATGGAGCACAGTAAAGAAGAGAGTTGCTCATAATAATGCAGTCGTCCTGTCTTGCAGAGCAGTTGCGACTGAAACAGGTTGTGTTCCTAGCCCACTAAACATCATCGGCAAAATACGTGAATCATGCGAGACATTTCCTACATCCTCTCACAAGCCCACAGCGATAGAAAGGACCTTGCAGAGTCGGATGGCCAGACGAATATGGCAGGAACAGTGGAAATCGTTTGTACAGAATGAGGTGTTATTGGACCAGGAAGGTGTCAGGTTCTGTGATAACCTAGTGGTTCTCGAATCATTGGTGCAGACAGTTCCACACGAGTCACATCACCACCTGGACAATATGGGTGAAAGGAGGCACTTGACCCCTTGGGCATAAAGTGATGCTTGCCTTCGCTCTCCTTAAATACACCTAATTGCAGCCGAGTCTGCCTCACTTGCAACAGCATTAAAAGGCACCACCTTACAACGATCGCATCTAAAGGAAGAGGAGGCGTTGACATGATGGGTCCTCTACCATCCACCAAGAGAGGAAAGCGGTATATTCTGATTATAGTGGACTGCTTGCTGAAGGTGTATAATGTGATTCACTGCGCCTCATTTCGACCTCATGCACATTGATGACTTCGAAGATGCGAATTATCGGCTAGTGAAGTCGTCATACGTGAAGGCTTGCTTTGTAGATAGCGCTTCGTGGGGCTTCCTTCACTTTGGTTGAGTCAAGCGGAAGATGCTGTCATTAATGAGAAGGGAGAATGAACAATTGCGTGCCAATTTAGATGACTGAATGAAGAGGCTGGAGTGCTGCGAAGAGCAAAACTGGCTTCAGTGCAGTTCAAATATCTTTTTAAAGATTGGATTAAGTAATGTAAAATCAGTAGGCCAGAAGTATCAGGAATGCAAATTAATTCAGCAAATGGCTGATAGTAGGTGCGAAACAATCGAGAATGCGTTTTTCAGGCTCCTAAATTCCGACACGTGCGGGTTCGTACTCTGTTTTAGTCTTGTGACCTCGTTTTTTCTTTTGTGTAAGAATTTACTCTCTCTCCAGGGATGTATCTCTAACAACAGCTAATCAGGAGTGAGACGGGATTGGCTATAGTGGCGGTAGAGTTGAAAGCATTCCTGCTTGTAGACAATTTTGTTCGCCTTCGGGAAGGGCTCTGTGTCCCTGTTTTTCAGTTGGATTGGGTAAGGAGTAAGTCTTCGTACAGTGCAGTGGTTGGAGTACCCAAACAGTCTGCACTCTCTGATCAAGAACTTCATTGTTCAATTTAATAAAACGCGACTCATAGCGC